AAAATTATAAAGGACAGTTCCTAGAATAAAAATGCAGGTAGCTACTTAAAATCAGAAACACAATGTATAACTTTCAAACTCGTTAGTGTAATTGTAGAAAACAAATCTTTTTTCAGCTATGTATTTATTTTTATTTTTTTGTTAACATATAATGTATTATTTGTTCCAGGGGTACAGGTCTGTGATTCAACAGTCTTACACAATTCATAGCACTCACCATAGCAACAATGTCCATCACCGAGACTATTTATTTTTTTATTTAAATTTTTTTTAAATTGAGGTATAATTAACACAGTGTTGTATTAGCGTCAGGTGTACAATATAATGGCTCAACAATGCTATCCATCACTCAGTGTTCATCGCAGTAAGTGAAATCTTCGTCCCCTTCATGCATGTGCCCTTTGGCAACCACCAGTCTCTATATTTAAGAGTCTGGGGATTTTTGTTTGTTTCTCTCTTTTTTTTAATCTTTTTTTGGAAAACACATACATCTTCATCAAGTAAGAAGTCTGGAAAGTCAAAAGGAAGCTAAGAGAATGTAGGGTATCTTAATACATGTGGAGAAAAGAACATCCTATACATTGTTGGTGAGGATATCAATTGGTGGTGCCATTATGGAAAAACGGTATGGAGTTTCATCAAAAAGTTAACAAAGAACTGCTAGATGTTCCATCAGTCTCACTTCTGAGTGTGTATCCAAAAGAAAAGAAACAGGATCTTGAAGAGGTGTCCACACTCCCATCTTCAGTGCAGCATTGTTCACAATGGCCAAGATACGGAAACAACAGTATCCATCAATGTCCAACAATGGATGAATGGATAAAGAACATGTGGTATATATATGTATGACTATTAGTCATAAGAAAGAAGGAAGTCCTGCCATTTGCAACAACAAGGATGGACCTTGAGGGCATTATATTAAATGAAATAAATCAGACAGAGAAAGGCAAATACTGTATGATTTAATTATGTGTGGAATCTACAAAAGTCAAACTCGTAGAAGCAGAAACAAAGAAAAGTAGAGTAGTGATGAGCAGGGGCAAGGTGGGTGAGGGAAGTGGGGAGATGGTGGTCAAAGGCTACCAACTTCCAGTTATAAGATGAATAGGTTCTGGAGATGTAATGCACAGCGTTGTGATTATAGTTAATACTACTGTATCAAATCCGAGAAAGTTGTTTAGAGAATAGATCTTCAGTGTTCTCACCCCCCCCCAAAAAACAACAAATGGTAATTATGTGATGTGAGGGAGGTGTTAGTTAAAGACATGGTGGTAATCACCTTGCTATCTATCAATCAAGAGCTGTACACCTTAAATTTACACAAAGTTTATAAGGTGTGTTTTCACTCCACTGCATCTCCCTTCCATTTTCGCCAGACCTGTGTCTTCAAGCTGAAGTGAGTCTGTTGTAGGCAGCATATTGTTGGATGTTGCTTCTTTTTATCCATTCAGGTACTCTATGTGTTTTGATAATCCGTTTACATTGAAAGTGGTTATTGATATGTGAAGACTTGCCATTGCCATTTGATTAGTTGTTTTCTGGCTGTTTTTCTGTTTGTTTCTTTCTGACTCTCATGAGGGAGTAACTGAGTCAGAGAGAAGAGATTCACAGGATGTCATATATGAGGACTTTTGATGTAGAAATTCTACTGGAAAGGGGGGCCACATCTTCCTCATGCCTTTCTCTAATTCCCCCTCATTGGAGACCAAGATGAGGCCAGGCATCCTACTTACAGGATCTGAAACCAAGACCTGTGGGATCCCCAGAGTACTGCCTAATGAGATTGAATACTATCCCTGAAGTAGCCCCCACATCTTTATTGATGACCTCCATCCCAGTTCAGATTCATGGGGAATGGCGAGGTCCGAAAATCACATGAACCTATTTTAAATCCTTAATTGCATGCCCTGTGATCTTTAAGTGTTTGTTGAGAGACCCAACTTCTCACCTGGGACATGGCTTATTGTTTGATCAGACTCAGGTGAGGGTGAACAGGTAGTTGGGGAACATGTTTTGAGGGAACCTCAATGCCAACATGTGAAGTATTTGCTATGTTCATTTAAGAACAATTTTGGTTGCTACTCAGGGTCTAGGGAAAACCGAGGCTTGCTCCATCCTACTCGAGGTGAAAGTGACCAGAACCTTGAAAATAGAAGAACACACACATGTACATTGGTGGGTATTATCAGTAGGTGTGCTGCGTTTGGCTCCTATTCACATGGGAGAGATGACTGTAATCATTACTTCCTAGCTCTGCATTCAGTGGATACACACAGGCAGCTTCAAGTTTGGCCATATAGGGAGTATTTTCACCAAAGAAATCAGTAAAAGCCTTAAATCAGTAAAAGCCTTAAATCACCAAAGAAATCAGTAAAAGCCTTAAATCGGGAAATGGTATTTCCTTATAGCCAGTTTACCCCCAGAGCATGTATGTGACTCTCACTTCACACACCGGTGTGTTCATTCCAAGTGATGATACTTCTGGAGAAATAATATCATTTATCATATGATGAAGAGGGAATGTCTTGTGGGTCCAGATCCTCTTACAGAATGATTTTTGATGTATTTTTTCCAAACTGGACTTGGTATGCATCTATCTATTCAGTATTTAAAACAGAGTCTGTGTTCTGAGCTGAAGAGTACTCACACAAGGGAATAGAGAAAAAAGTATTCCATGAAGGTGGACCAGAGCATGAAGGTAGACCCAAAGATACCATGGGGGATGTAGCCTCATGTCATAGGGTTGAGGAAAGAAGGAAGCCAGTCCAGAAGACGTCAAGGAAAAGCCAGGAAGGAAAAGTGCTGGGGAGTGAAATTACCACAGTTTAATTGCAGAAGAGCCACTACAGCACCAACCTAGACATTTTCCTGCACCCAAACCATGTTTGTACCCAGACTATTCTCAGCAGAATGCTTCTCCAACTTATGCCCAGATTTTCTTCCAGAAACGCTTGGTATCATCAATTTCATTTTCAAAGTTCCACCTCACTGAAAAGTCAGTCTTCTCTCTCTTACATTTATGTCCTGGCTGCATCTTGGGGTCTTCTCTGACTGTGCCCAGCTTGAAAGAGCAGCACTCCAAGAACCATCAGGATCAAGGCAGAGATCCCCAATCGGATGAGATTCTCCACTGTGTAATCTTGGCTGTTTGAGGCTAGAGATTGTGGACAAAGAGATTGTGGTGGTCAGGGCAGACTGAAATCACCCTGGCATCCCTGCATGTCCCTGTGAGCCCATCACATAACTGAGAATTTCTCCTGACTCATCCCTCTTGGATGCTGACTTGTTTTGTGATGGTCTGAGGGTATCAGCTACACCTGAGAGTCAGAAATAGAGCCTGTGGTTGAGAAGACATAGTAATGCTGAAGTATTCCCTTCTCTTATCTCCAGCGAGTCCCTGAAACTAGCTAATGTCATCTCAATCCCTTGAGGTGAGCATCTCCAGAGTCTTACCTTCCATCTAACTAGGAGACAATAATAAACACCTGAGGCTTCATTTTGTCCTGAGAATCAGGAACGTGGAGGAGTGGAAGGCTGGGTCTCTCTTTTTATCCCTGCACACCAGCCAGCTCCTTCTGGTCCCTGACTTATGACGATATATTTCCACAGCACTTTTCATCTTTATCCATCCCATCTCTTCTCTTTGAAAATAAACGATGAATTATGTACCACACATCGGGCATTTTTCTAGGAGCAAGGATTACCATAATTCACATCAACTCTAATTTTTCATTCATTTGTTGTCTAGACTGAAGACAGATATGAAACAAGCAAAAGGAATGATCAATGATAAAAGAAAAAACTCAAATGAGCACATGGACAAATATACAGAGATCTATAGATATGAGCTTGGAATATCAAGAAATATCAGGTAACACTAGGGTTGGGGGAGGGAACACTAAACATAAATTCTTATGGAAGATGTTTTGGAGGATGACCTGATCCATCTGACAACCTGGTGCTCGTGGAAATTGGGCAGAAATCCAGCTTTTCTCTCTTTCCTTTCCATAATGCCAAGGGTTACTGGTGGAGACAGGATATGTTAAGAGTAGAGAAGTCCCAAGAAAGAGGAATTCCTGAAACATCTTTCAGAGAATTCACTGGTACCAAATTTCTGATCTGATTTAGTCTTCTGAAACACAGGATAGGATTCAGCCTATGATAACTGGGAGAACAAAGTCTCAGATATGAATAGAATTTTGTCAATGTCTCAATCAAGAGTGGCCGATCCAACTCAGCTTGGGCTATGACTTCCAGGGATTCCCCAGCCTCCTGACCTGAATATGAGAGGCACCCTTTATTGTGCTCTACAAATTGGGGGTCTGATTCCACAGGTGCCACGATAGTCATACTTTCTAGATATCAGCACCAAGAACAGAGACAGAGTAACTCTTTTCTCTGCACCTGAATTGGGCTTCTTCATGCTTTTCCTCTCCCACTGACACGCAGTGGGCCCTCATGATCTCAGTATTGCTGGACACATGATGTCCCTCCCTTCAAGGCCCTCTCCTGGCCCCAGGACCTGTGGGAACAACCCCTATGTAAGTACATGAAGTGCAGAGGATCAGCGAATTTCAGCCCAGGACTGGGAAGACTGTCTCCTCTAGGCTAAGAGGTCTCTCTTCCCAGCAGACATGAAGATTGTCCATGGGGGTGAGGGCCTGAAGACTTGAAATGCTCCTTGGAAGAAGAAGGAGGCTGTGGGGCTGTGGGGGCTCTTCATGTCCCCCTCAGCCTTACTGCTTCCCCTCAAAGTTCATTCTTTATAACCTTCAGTCTCCTCCCTGCACAGTTCTGGCCCTGTCTCTGTCATCTGGTTGAGGTAAGACATGGAAATGGTATGGGACTCTCTGACTTTTCCATCCCCCACAGAGAGGGATCACCCAGTGGCTGAGCTCCCTGTTGTTATTTCCTTCCCATCCCAGCCCAGAGCTCTCCAGGAACAGGGCTGTGACTCAAGCATCTGAGCCCTCAATGGACATGGGGTGTGGGCTCCTCACCTGAGACCAGGAGCTCCAGGGGGTCACTGGGCTGTGACAACAGGTAGGGAGAGTTGCTGTGTGAGCTGTAGCACCTGTAGGTCCCCTCGTGGTCTGAGGTCACAGGACTCAGGGTGAACTTGACCTGGTTAGGTATCACTGTGTCCTGCAGATAAAGGACCTGGGGAGGAGCCAGGGACCCCTCCTTGGACAGGTGGAAGCTATCAAACAAGACCTCAGAGCGACACTGCAGAGTCACGTTCTCTCCCCAGGACACTGAAGGCCCTGGCTGGGCTGAGAGGGTCGGTTTCTCATACATTCCTGGGGGAGAGCAAGGTCGTGACGTGTAGAGCCACCCCTCCCCACACGCCCTTGACCCTGAGCTGGGGACCACCATCCTCTCTCCAGAGACTCTCTGTGGGGCCCCCTCTCAGCACCTCTTGTCTCTCTGAGTGGGCGTCCTTTATCTCCATGGCCCTCACTGTCCCTCTCTCAGGCCCTGTCTCTAGACCACGTCTCCATATCAGCCTGTGCTCCTGACCCTTTCCCTGGACCCCATCACCCAGGGGCAACCGTGTTCCCAGGCCCTGAGTCGGGACGTGGGGCCGGGGGCTCCTCACCTGTGATCAGGACGTCCAGAGGGGCACTGGGTGCCGACCACGTGGAGGAGAGCTTGTGTCCACAGTAGCATCTGTATCGGCCCCCGTGGGAGCGGCTCACAGGGCCCAGGGTGAAGTTGGGGCTGGGTTGCCCGTCTAGACACTGGGGAGCTCTGAGCTCCTCATCCTTGGTCAGAGCGAATCTGTCAAAGCCAGTCTCTGAGCGACACAGGAGGCTCAGGCTGTCTCCAGACTGCACCAGGGGGCCCGGCTGGGCCGAGAGGGAGGGCTCCCTGTAGACACCTGGCCAGAAGGGGACAGTGGTACTGAGGGGACTCACACCCAACTTTGGCCCAGGGCCTGCCGTGAGGCTCGTATGGGTCCCTCCCAAGGCCTCCCACCTGTGGGTCTGGCCCCAGGACGACCTTGTCACCCACCCCCCATCAACCCCAGGGCTCCACTGGGCATATGGCTTAGGTCAGTCATCTGGGCCCAGGAGGTAGTTGGGGTGAAGCAGGGGCCCCCTCACCTGTGACCTGAAGGTGCAGAGGGTTACTGGGCTGTGACCACAAATATGGGTACGATTCGGGAGAAATGTAGCATCTGTAGGTCCCCCCATGGGAGGTGTTCACAGGGCCCACAAGGAAGACTGCCTGGTACCGCTTCCGACGGAACGTCAATTCCAGGTATTGGGGCACATCAGCTCCCCCCTCCTTCAGCAGATGGAATGACCCCCGTGGCCACGGTGAGCTACAGGAGAGGGACACATTCCCTCCCGAGGCCACCACAAGGGTTGGGTTGGCTGAGAAGGAGGGTGCATCATACACTCCTGAGAGAGAAGGAAGGAGCTGTTATAGGGGCCATCAACCCATGTACCCCATGGACTGTGGACTGTGAGCAAGGGGTCCCCCTGAGGCCACACTCCATTCTCTTCTGCCTGGAGGAGGGCCCCCAGGGGGAGGGGACCAGCTCCTGCCCTCACCTGTCACCACCAGGGTCAGGAGGTCACTCCCCTGTGACCAGCTCTTCCCTCTCTGATATGCACACTGGTATTTCCCTGAATTGTGTGAGCTCATGGATGCAAAGGAGACACTGGCCCTGTTGCTGGAATCCTGTGAGGTCTTCATGGGCCAGGATCCATGGACACTCTCTTTATACAGATAGTAGACATCAGCCTGCAGAGACGCCTGACACCAGATGGTCACAGGGCTCCCCTTGGTGACCATGGGGCCAGGATCAGCCCAGATGGAGGGTTTGGGGAGGGTCCCTGGAAAGGAATCAGATGGAGTTGCAAGGGTGCCCTTCTCTCTTCAGTTTCCCACCTGTCGCCCCAAGGCCCTTCCCACACCGGTCACCATCAGCCCTGACCCTCTGCACCCTCCAGCTGCCCAGGGGGTTGTTGGGCAGAAGCAGGAGGTCTGGGGAGGACTTACCTGTCCGTGCCTGGTCCCACAGGCCCTGACACAGCCCTGGAAGAGAGTTCCTGTGAGTGCGTCCCCCACCCACACGTAGCTGCTCCAGGCCTGGTTTGGGCCCCTGGGTACTGGGGTCACATCTGGGGCTGAGCACACTCCTTCCCCCAGAAGTTCTGCCCCCACTGATCCTCCACAGTCCTGAGATCTCCCAGGGACCAGGACCTGGGGGCTGGGGGGGGAGGGCAACCCCATCCCTCCTCGTTTCCAGAAAGCTCACCAAGGTAGAGAAGGGCAGTGGGGGTCAGGGTCCCAGCGCTGCCTCCCATGGTCCTCAGCCGTGCAGACAGCTTATAAAGTCCTCAGAGTGTGATGGACGGACAGATGCACAGGGTGTGACCCAGCCCAGGCCCCTTGTTGCTGGTCACGTGTCCCGGATGGATGGCCTCACAGGAAGGAGGAGAGCCCCCCCAGGGCCTCGCTCTGCTCTCCCTGAAGGGTGACATGAGAGCAGCAGGTCCTGGAACTGTTCAAAGCAGATGTGAGTCTCCCCAGACCACACTCACTCCGCCTCCTCCCCACCAAGCTCAAGTCCAGAGCATAGCACCGGTCCCTGCACATGAAGCCTGGGGAGGTAGGGCAGGGTCTGGGAGCCAGCCCACTTTCAGTTCCACTTCTACCCCTTACTCACACAGAGGCTGTGTGACCTGGGCTGTGACACTTCCCTTTCCTGAGCTTCTGTAAATGCAAATTTTCGTCCTTCCTCCCACCACACTGACAATCAGCCAGTGATTAGTGAGCAGTGACCACATCCAGTCATGGCACCAGGCGCTGGAGATTCATTGGTGAGGCGGCAGACTCCTCTGTAGGACTAGTGAAGCTGTGATTAGTGACAACAGAGAATACAAACTGTTGACAATGGGAAATTTGGCCATAGTTTTGGTAACCTGTGGAGAAAGACAGAAACCAAGGACAGAGAGGTTCAGAGACAGGTGGACATCTAGCAAGCTGAGTCACGGGATCGTGGGAACTCTCTGGGATTGAGAATACAATACAAGATGGGGCGAGCACGAATGTGCTGAGTGGTGTCATCCTTGCCCCGGATGGTGACCTCTTCTGGAACTGCATCCTCAGGGAGTGGGGGGCCTGCTCCCACACAGGCTTTTAATGCCCCACACGTGTTCCTGGATTTTACCTCCAGGAAGCAGGAAAATCGTCAGTAAGGTAATGTGTGAACAGATTGCTGTTGTGTGGAGATCACCACTACGGAGGCCACGTTCTGTAGGAGGGTGGTGTGGATACTCAGCAGTGATAACACACTGAGCTTCAGCTGCTGGCTACCTGATGAGCTCATCGACATTCTAAGTGGTGTCTGTGGTTTCTTGCGAGCCACTCACAGAATCCCAGTAACACAAACACATTCACAGTTGGTAGGAAGAGCCAGCAATAGTTCTTTTTTTGTTTTCATGGCCTAGAAGGTTTGGAAGGAGTCTGCTCTGTTGAGATTGTCTCCACCAGCACACCCCAAGAAGACACACATGTAGTTATAACTGTTTGTGTGTTGTGTGTGTGTCTGGAGAGGGGAGGTGGTGAACTGGGATGAGTTTGCTTGTGGGGAGGAGTGGGCCTTGCCGGGGCTGGAAAGGGTAGCTCAGCCTGGTCATCAACATGTGCAGGGGCAGGTGTAGACCTGGGTCATTGGAGTAAGGTGGAGACAGGTGGACAGGTTTTGTGCAGGGGAGGGGCAGTGACAGGTAGGTTTGCGGCCATGAGAATAAGAGAGTTCCTCAGGGGGTGAGGGCCTGGAGGAGAAGCAAGAGAGGGAAGGCTGATGGTGATTCCAACAGGATGTCTCCAGTCTTCCACTGATCCTGACTGTGGTGTGGATGGGTTCATGGAAAGAGGGCTCTGGGGCAGAACTCTTTGGAGACGTCATCATGTGTGACATGGAAGGGAGTGATGAATGGAGAGCTCTCCCATGCTCTGCCTTGTTTGACTGGAGGAGCCAGTGGGGCTATCCAGGATGGGTAACCCCAGAGAAGGATGGGGAACATGTTTATAAGACTGTTAACTGATTCACAGAGGGAATGACCACCTGGCTCTGGGCCTGGGTTTGTGGTTTGTTTCCCTCACACACTTCCTCTCTTTTGACTTCTCTCCAGCAAAAACCGAGTCATTCCTGCCTCCCCACTGCCTCTTGTCCTCCAGACATGAGCTCTTCTGGATTCTACCTCCATGCTTTGTGCAAATCACTAGCTGGATGCAGGTAATGCTTGTTAATCCATCGTCAGTTGGTGAACATTTGATTGTCACCACCTTTTGTCTCTTGTGAGTCCTTCTATGAACATACTTGCATAGGTGTCTGCTCAATTACCTGGATGCAATTCTTTTTCTTCTCTGTTTTTCATTGTGGTAACAGGAGCGCTTAGCATGAGACCTACCCTCTTTACAGATTTCTGTGTCAGGACCCTATTGTTTGCTCTAGGCATGGAGTTGTCTGGGGATCTCTAGAACTGTCTACCTTGCAGAACTACAACTTATGCCCAGAAGTGGAATTTCTTGGTGACATGGTACTTCTGGGTTCAAGTTTTTAAGGATCTGCCATCTCTCGATTTCATGTAACTTGCACCCTACAAGTAATGCATTAGGTCTGTGTGCTCATGCCCCCTGCCATGATTGATAGTACACCTTAACTGTTTACATCTCATCTGGAGTCCTGGAACTCCAGTCTTGTGATTTCACTGAAACTGGGCCAAGAGAAATAGAAATAATCATTCCACATAAAATGCAGGGAAACCTGGGTGCACTTTGGGGCTACCAGAGTGGCATTAATGCATCCTATGTTGACTTGTACTGTTTTGTGACATCAGTTCTGCACATTCCTCCCCATAAGCCACCTCACAGTGGTACCTTGAAGTTACCTGTGAAGGGAGGAGATACACCAGAGATACTGGCCAATGCCACGAACCAGCATTTTGCACGGTGGGTTTCTCAGAGGCAGCACAGACCAGGCCATCTGGTGGAAGTGAAAGGCTGATGGATGCACAGAGGGTACTGGGGCATCTCATGGATTTATCTCTTTCAGGCTGCATCTTTTTATGCCAATTTATGATTCATTAAAACAGCCTGCATTATCTGAACTGAAGAGATGGAGATGCCTTCATGGACCTTAAGGTGTATGGTGATTAGAAGGGAGGAAAATGTATTACCTGAAATTGTACCAGAGCATGGCAGTGTATGGAGGTGTGGACTGAAATCTGCCATGTGGGTATAAGCTGGTTTCACGAAATGGGGAAAGATGGGAGCCAGTGAAGACAACTCAACAATGGTTTGGAAGGAGAGTCCACGGTTTAATGGCAAAAGAGTGCATACATTGTCCCCACACTGGAGCCATGACTCCTCCTCCTCCTCACAATGATCTGCAGACGGTTCACACAGCACTTGCCCCACATGCGCTTCCAGAACCTCCTGGGCACACAAGGTGTATTTCCCGGGCTCTGCTATTCTGATCATTGCATTGTTCTCTCTTGTATCTCTTGTGTTTACCTCCTGGCTGCATCTTGGGCTCTTCTCTCACTGTACCAAGCCTGAAAGAGGAGAATCCCGAGGACCACCAGGATCACTGCAGCCATGCCCATGCGGATGAGATTCTCCACTGTGTAATCTTGGGTGTGGGAGGCTAGGAATTGAGGAGAGGTCACAGAGGTCAGGGCACACAAAAATCACCTGGGATCCTGGATGTCGACCCAGGGCACCCGCCTCCCCTTGACAGCACTTAACCCTCCATGCCATCCCCATAACTGAGCCTTTCCCCTACTCTCCAGTGTTGGTGTCTGCCTTGTTTCGTGATGGGCTGATGGCATCAGCTGCTTCTGAGAACCATAAAAATGTGGGGGGAAATGAGGTGCTGTTGGGACTCAAACTTGTCCCCTGGGCTGTGTGTTCTTGTACCTCCCCCATTTCTCATGATATACCTAACATAGAGTCCCTAATGAACACTTTCTCTGCTATAGAAGGATGCCCTTTGGCCTCATTGGATTCCTTCTGTCTCCTTGTGTTTTATGAATTGAGACTTCATTTCTGAGTCCCATTGGAGCAGAGTCTTCCTGTGTCCCCTAGCTCAGAAATTTAGTGTGTAAAATCATCTCTCAATATAGAAATAATTGAGCTATTCAATTTCTGTGTTCATTCTGAGCATGTAAGTTACCACTTGTGGATAAGAGAACTTGCGTTTTTCAACAATCAGGACCCAGTGTTCATGGGTGAAGGGTTGGTCATAAATATATATATGAATATATTGAGAGAGAGTGAGAGAATTCAATGTGTACCATATAGGTGTTAGTTATTTGAACTATCCTAGGTAGGATATCACCATCACCAAAACTATCATCATCATCCTCATCACCACCACCATCATCAACACCATCATCATCACCATTACCATAACCACCACCATCACCACCACCATCACCACCATCATCATCACCACCATCACCATCATCATCACCACCATCATCATCATCACCACCATCATCACCATCATCATCACCACCATCATCATCATCACCACCACCATCATCACCACCATCGCCACCATCATCATCACCACCATCACCATCACCACCACCATCACCATCACCACCACCATCACCATCACCACCATCACCATCACCAGCACCATCATCACCACCATCATCATCACCACCACCACCACCATCATCATCATCATCACTGTCTGCCTCCTTCTCATCTCTTTCTCTATCTCTGTCTGTCAGTCACGAAGAACTCTGAAAACTGCCGAAAGATTTCAAGGAAGAACACCAGTCATTTGATTTTTATCTTCAAAGACAGCCCCTCTCACCTCAAACCCTCAAGGAACAGAGAAAATAAGTGTTGTTATAAAACTGGTGAACACAAAATTAGGTAATCCTGCAAATCTAATTTAATCCATTCACATAAAAAACAAAAAGATAAAGAAGTACAGATGAATTCTAATTATAAATCTCCATGTGGAAATTTTAAATAAGCTTTAACAATTCAGAAAGTATGAATGAAGCATAGACATCATTCAGTGGGTTAATATCCAAATGTTTGATACCAAGAAGTCTTTTAAATGTGTCTCACTAGGGCTATGAAATTCAAAGAATAAGTCAGGAAATGTACAAGCCCAGAAAAAATTCCATTCCTAATTTGTATTAAGAAAATAATATTTTTTTCCTAATAAGACCTGAATGTAACAGAGAAATGGACTGAAGCAGACAGTTTAGTATTGCTATATACATAAAAATACAGATTTTTAAAATGCGTTTGACTTAAAACAATTAAATAATTTGGGCTATCAACTAAGATGTTTTCTTAAAGTAACACTTAGATTCGTGTTAACATCTTACTTTGTCATCATTATCATGAGATATTTGCTACAAACAACACTGGTGCACAATCTGGAAATAAAGAGATAAGTTTCAATTTTTTTGAGGTTGATATAATGATTATCAGTTAATCAATGGAGATCAATTGTGAGGCACCTGAAAGGTGGTGTTTCTGTACTAAGTTAATAGAATATAAAATTAATATAACCAAACCAGTATCATTGTTATATATACTTAACTATTAGTTAGAAAGTATTAAGAAATAAAAAATCTACTTATAAATGAATAAAAATTGAACACTTTTTAAGATTCAAGTGTAGACAATTTGATGAAAGAAAAAACTTCAGAATGCACCTGCATCATTTATAAAGCTCGTTTCTAAGCATGTTTTATTAAAAAAAACTTCATAATCATAAATTACTCTCTATAATGAATATATACATTTCATCTAATCCCAATGAAATTGGATAATTTTTTTTAAAGATTTTATTTATTTATTTGACAGAGAGAGACAGCTAGAGCAGGAACACAAGCAGGGGGAGTGAGAGAGGGAGAAGCAGGCTCCCCACTGAGCAGGGAGCCCGATGTGGGACTCGATCCCAGGACCCTGGGATCATGACCTGAGCCGAAGGCAGACGCTTAACGACTGAGCCACCCAGGCGCCCTGGATAATTTTTTAAGCCATAAATCCTCATAACGTAAATTTGTATCTGCAGAAATCGCTTTTTTTTAAGATTTTATTTATATTTGACAGAGAGAGACACAGCGAGAGAGGAAACACAAGCAGAGGGAGGAGCAGGCTTCCCGCGGAGCAGGGAGCCCGATGCGGGGCTCGATCCCAGGACCCTGGGATCATAACCTGAGCCGAAGGCAGACGCTTAACCACCGAGCCACCCAGGCGTCCCTCTGCAAGGACAGCTTTAAAAGTTCTGAGAAGCAGGCACAGGGACATTGGACAAACATCCACACACAATGCAGAGTGGACACAAATTGCACACGGACACGTAGTGCAGCGTCCCTGGGGACTCCCGTGAGCCGGGCACGGCCCCTCCTCCGTCTCAGGTGTGCACCGAGGGGCATGGAGGCCCCCAGGTGAGCACAGGGGGCGGTAGAGAGGTGCCCACAGGCAGGGAGCCTTCTCTTTAGGACAGTGTCTGGTGAGCTCCACCTGCGCCTTCAGAAAATCCCACCTTAGTCTGAGTAGCTCCAGGCCTGGTGTGAGAGGGCTCCACGCCTCCTCGGGTGTGGGTGAGGGGCTCCATCCTCAGGGTCTCTTGGAAATGGGAAATAAGAGCTGCCAAGGAGGTGTCTGTCTGTCCTCTACAACTGTCCCAGACTCCCCGCATCCTCCCTGGACCCCAAGCGCTGCGAACCCTTTCTATCCTCTATCCCACACTTTCTCCAAACCTGGCTGGAGGCCTAGGAATTGCGGCATGCTGACAAGCGGCAGGTGGTTTTTAGGAGAAAATCGCAGTTTTGTGTGGGATGAGGAGGGCCTGAGATGCTAAATCCATGGGGATGTCCTAATCTCCGCTGTCTCCATCCTACTGGTACTTCCTCTTGCTTTGCTGAGACCCGGGCCTGATGGACAAAATCACGTGCACCTGCGTCTCCCTCGGCTTCCCAACCGTTCCCAGATCCGAATTCCTTGGAGAGGCAGGGCCGTGAAGGTCAGACAAGAGGTCACTGCAGCCCCCGGCCCCGCCCCTTTTCCGAGGGGGCACGCCCTTCTCAGAAGCTCCCCCTCCCAGAGAGATGAGCTCCTGCAGAGCCGCCCCTCGACGCATTCTGCGTGCCCAGCAGGGGAGCTCCTACCTCGCCCCCGCCTCTGGCTAGTAGCCAATGTCCTGCTTCTGAGCGGGAGACACCAGGAAGTCAGTGGGTGGGGCATCTGCCTTGTCACCTGTCTGACCTCATTTCCTCTCAGGGTCGTGGCATCTAGGTCCGTGCCCTTCCCTCCTCAGTCCTGTCCGAGACTGCCGGGATCGCGCTTCGCGGGGCAGGAGGCCCATTCCCACGCGCTCCCGGGTGGACCCGCCTCTGTGGAACTGCCCTTGGCGATCCCTTTATGGCATCCTGTCTCAGACTTTCCTGTAGACAGGGCACTGAGCTGCCCTTTTCTGCTCAGAGAGGACAGGGACCACAGGGACCTGCCCCAAATCACCAACTCAGGGAGCGCTGAGAACCCTCCCCTCCCGGCGAGTGCCACCCTATACCTCATAATCCGAGGGCAGGGAGGTGAGGAGGTAGGCTCCTGAGCTCCGCCCTCACTCACTCGACCTGGCTCCTGCGTCCCCGGCTGGGCCCCCAGCCTCTCCCTCTGCCGTGACCACCCCGGCCCTTCTCCGCCGGCCTCGGAGCCCCTGGAGCCCCGGAATGGTCCTGCCGTTTCTACCCGGCTCCCAGCCCTCCTCCTGACAGACTGGGAGAAATTATAACCCCCCTGGACAGAAGCCCCTGTGACTCAGCAGCTGCTGAGCTGGGACCTGGGGGGTGGGGCGGAGGTGGGGGCTGGGTCTCTAGAGGATCCTGGGCCAAAGGACAGTAGCTGGCTGGGGGCTGGAGCTTCTCCTAGAGACCACATCTCTGCTCCCGCTCTTCTCCCTCGTCGGCTCTGTGGCTCGGCCTCAGAGCTCCTGAAGCGTTGTGGCCCCCAGGTGTCTCTGCTGGACTCTCAGCCGCCCTCCCCCCCGAGATGCAAGATCGTTTCTGAGTATTGGGGGGCATTAGATCCTTTGAGGGGCTCTCAGAACTGACCTGCGGCAGTGTGTGCTCCTTCTGAGCAAACAGACCCCAGGGGCACACCGATGTTGAGCGGTCCTGTGGATGGGGGGGGTTGGGGCTGACCCAGGAGTCCCCATCTCATTCAGACTTCTCCTACACCTGCCCCATGGACTCCCCAAGACCTTCCAGCTGCCTACCTGGCACCTTTAGACCCAGGAGAGGGGCAACGGGTGGGAGGGCCTCTGTTGGCCTCCTTTGAGCTGAGGGGCAGATCTTCCTTTGAGTGACCCTCCCTTGCAGCACCCCCCTCCCAGCCCAGCCCAGGTAACTCTTGAGGACAGAGCCCTGAATAGACCATCAGGACACAGAAGGGACAGTATTGGGCTCCTCACCTGTCACCACCAGCTCCAGGGGGTCACTGGGCTCTGACCAGCCA